CCGATAGGGGGCCGATTATATCCTGCATCCCTAAGAGACTGTAGTTGTTTTTTCTTATTTTAAATACAAATTGCCTTATTCCATTGGCAAAGTGCATCATATAACTGCTTAATTCAAGAAAAAAATGCTCTTATTTTGGTAAAAATAAACTTACGTAGATTTCAATTTTTTGCAGTGCACTGCAAAAACAACCTAGAAATATGTAAAAATGTCTTAAATTAAGTTAATTTAGCCATAATTTGTGCAGTTAAATTAGATGATTTGCCAATGGAATGAGTTTGTTTTACTGATAAAATAATATAATTAGATAATATGTACTTTGAATAAGATGTTGCAATTGCTTTTCCTTATTTTAAATGTAAATTGTCTTGTTCCAAAGTGTCCCACTTACCTCCTCGATTCAAGAACAAAATGCACTTGTTTTAGGAAAAAATGGCTTTTTGCAGTGTGTGACATTATTCCTCTGTGCTTCAGTGATCCAGTTTAGCTTCACCACCATATTTGTGGCAGCGTTTCCACTTGCTCCCCTGTTTGCTCTCATCAATAATGTGATTGAGATCCGCTTGGATGCCATTAAGATGGTCACCCTGGAGCGCAGAATGTTTCCCAAGAAAACCAATGACATCGGTAAGGATGGCGTGTAGATACCTAAATCTTTTTTAGGCTCATGCATGTTGATATCTACTTTTTGACTCTCACCTCTCATTGGAACACAAACTTTCAGTCATCAGAACCTTACAACTCGGGGCCGAGCATGTCCTTACTAAGGCCCAAACTGGGCGTTTGTCAAACCAGCAACATCTCCATCGCATACGTTGCAGGACTCTCTGAAAAACTAAAGAGTATTTTCTCCAAACACAAAATCCCAGAACATTTCAAACCAAACAGACCCTAAAACAGAGACTAGTGCATCCTAAAGACCTAATATGAGCAGAGTGATGTCTGCAGTTCAATGCAGTGAGGAATGCTCTGATCTTTATATTGGAGAAACCAAACAACCTCTCCACAGACGCATGGCCCAACATAGAAGAGCGCCCTCCTCTGGACACGACTCTGCGGTCCATCTACACCTGATGGACAAAGGACATTCTTTGGAGGACCAGAATGTTCACATTTTGGACAAAGAAGACAGGTGGTTTGAGAGGAAGGAAGCCATCTATGTTAAGAAAGAAAAAACAACCTTAAACGGGGGAGGACTCAGATTTAAGCTTTCAGAAACCTAAAATGCAGCGATAGACTTGATTCCTTCCCACTATCATCGCAGCCCCTTTATACGACAGAAGACCTCACCTGTTCAGCCAGACCAACTATTCCCTCTAACGACCCCCCCTTCCAGAGACATAGACAGGTATGGGGCATTGCAGGCTAACAAAGAAGCCAAACGACCCCCATTCCAAAGGGGGGGACCCGTTCATCCGTTTCTATTTGCATGNGGCATTGCAGGCTAACAAAGAAGCCAAACGACCCCCATTCCAAAGGGGGGGACCCGTTCATCCGTTTCTATTTGCATGTTTTCTAAACTAAAACCAGGCTTTGTTGGGCTGATGGATAAAACCTGGAACTAAACGCTATTTCTGACATTTTGAATTAAAAAATCTTCCTGGATGGAAGAGAAACGTCTTCAAACTTGGAAAAAACTTAAGTGGATTGTTTTTTTTTATTTTTTTGGAATGCATGTTGATGATTCTTTTCTTTGGCCTCAGGTATCTGGACGGACATACTGGAGGTTATTGGTGTTTTAGCCGTCATCGTAAATGGCCTGATAATTGGGGTGTCGTCCGATTTTATCCCTAGACTCTTGTATCGCTTCTACTATGGACCGTGTGCCAACGGAACAGCAACAGATACGGAGTGAGACTTTATTATCTCTTTTTGAAAGTATTTTTAGTTTTCAACGGTACACCTACTATTCACATTATCTTGGTTATTTTTGTACTTTTAGCTGCATTGCTGGTTACATCAACAACACTCTATCCACTGCATTACTGAGTGACAGCAGAGTGAAGTTTGATCCAAACCAACTGGTCACTCCTGATCACCTAAATGCTACTTCATGCAGGTTTGTTCTCTTTTAGTTCTGCTTTAAGGAAAGTTTTTAACCCCTACCTAAGCACAGCCATTTTCTTTTCTCTATCTCTATACAGCTACAAAGACTACAGAGACAGTGACTTTAATTTTACCCCCCAGTTTTGGCTGATTTTATCAGTGCGCTTTGCTTTTGTCATCCTCTTTGAGGTAAGTCTGAAAATAGTGAGCTAGACAGTTTTCCTTTCATCCGACACGAAGCCAAAACCTAACAGCCTCTCTCTTGGTTTGCTAAAAACAAATCTGCAAAGAAATCATTTTCTGCATGTTTACAGATGAAAAAAAAAAATACTGTATGCTTTATTTGATCCTCTCTTCTTGCAGCACGTTCTGGTCATATGTAAATTCATTGCAGCCTGGTTTATACCGCCGGCTCCAATCGTGGTGAAGAATGAGCACCTCGATCAGAAACACGAAAGACTTCTAGAGCAACTTAAGTGAGTGTCAACCACTTTTTTCTTTTTTAACTTCTAGCTTTTATCTCCCAGAAGACAAAATCTTCCTGTTTCCTTTTTTCTTTGTTCTTCATTAAAACAACAACTCATACAACGACCGCTACACTGCAAAAAAAATGAAATCTAATGAGTCATTTTTTTCTTAAAATAAGTGCATTTTTCTCCAATTCAGTACGAAAGTGAGACACTTTGCCAATGGAACAAGACAATTTACACTTAAAATAAGAAAAAACAATTGCATCGTCTTATTACGAGTGCATATTAACAATTTATTGTCTTATTTCAAGTGCATATTATCTAATTATCATATTTTAAGAGTAAATGTCCTCATCCCATTGGCAAATCATCTTATTTACCTACTCAAATTAAGGGTAAATACCCTTAATTTAAGACATTTTTACTACTTTTGAGATAATTTTTGCAGTGTAGCTTCAGAACAATGCTGCTAAAAATTAAACTTGATAAAAACCAATAGCCTCTACGAACACTTAAAGGGGAATGCCGTTTTTTTTTTTTACTTTGGCCCTTGATTATACATTATTCCATCATGTTCTACTCTCCCATATGAGTTTAGTGTCATTTGGAGCCGTTCTGAAGATATTCCGTTAGGTTATATCCAGTAACGTCTTCCTATGGGCAACGACTTGAAGGCACAAACTAAACTGTTCATCATTTATTCTTTATGGTACGCCAGCATTCAGAACATGGAGGCCAATCACTGCCCCCCAGACACCCGCCGTTAGATTTTTTATATTTATATATTTTTTAAACAAAGCGGTGTATGACGATGTTTAAACACTTAATGAATTATTATCAAATCTCTCAAATGTATTAGTGTTCTGATTCAAATTGCACTATTAAACGTTAATCATCTTTTTTTGTTTTTGCAGAACTTTCCGTCCTGAAACTGTTTAAACTCCTTAATGAGAGAACATTTACTGTGAAAACATAACCCCGGTATGGCCTTCTGCATCTACATCTCAACCTGGGACGGTTTGAAACCTGTTTCAACGGAGACCCCCACCCCCCCGATATTTGCATGATTCTCCTACTAATTTAGGATGTTTATTTGTTTAACAGGATCTTTTTTAAACTAAACATGGATGAAATAAAAAAAAAAACACTCAAATATGTTGGTTTATTCATCTAGCATTTTGTATGTGGTTTTTTATTTATGTGGTTATATGTTGTATTCTTTGTACATTTTATTGTATTTAATAAAATAATGTTTTTATTATAATTCACGGAAAGTCTCAGAGTTAATACCATTTGTGCCCATTTTTAATGGATGTAAACCTCTTATTAAACTGATGTTACTGGAAATGCTTTTTATAATATTGATGGTATTATATTGTAAGTATTGGCTACTTAGTTTTGGATCTGTGTTTATGAGCCATACAGCACATGAGTGTTTTACCCACAATGCTCGGCTGCACATACTGTAGACTGCTGATTGTGTTACTAAGATGCCTTACAGTGTAAAAATGCAAAATGAAATGCCTGTTGCTTTTTTCAGATGGATTTGATTGCTTGTTTATGTAAATTAAATTGTTTTTGCATTATTATATATTTTTCTTATTAAACAAATTAAGAAACTTGTAAGTTTAAGCTTCTTGATTTGTAAGCTTGTTGTCAAAAAGAAATAAAGTTATTGTAAATAACCAGATTATAAGGTTAACTGGGAAGGGGAGCTAAAAAAAAGCAGATGTTTTAGTGCACTCTGGGTGCATTTAGATCATATTTATAAATTATATTCTTAGTCTGTTATTATACTAGAACTCTGTAAAAGAATCAGTGCAAAAAAGAAAGAGCAAAGCTAGATAAACCAGTTTTATACAGAGATGATCTGTTGCTCAATTTGTCATGATCTGCCCTGATAGCTGACCTCAATTGTTAATTTAACTCACCTGTCTAACTCTGCCCGGTCACCAATAATCACTCATATGTTTATTTATATTACCCCTTTCACAGACATAGAGCTCACAAAGTGCTTCGCAAAATTTTAAACAAATAAAATACATTTAGAATCACAAAAGACATGGTCATAAAACAACCCTTTATCTACTGGAATTAAAATGCTTTCTTAAACAAATAGGTTTTCACTTCACTCTTAAAAACATCAACAGTTCGAAGTAGGTGCAAGAAAAGCAGGAGATCGTTCCAGAGCGCCGACGCCACCGCCTGAAAGGAGCAATCTCCCCTGGTCCTGTAACGAGTACGAGGGACCAGGAGCAGGTTCAGCCTGGTCTCAGGATTAGCAGACAAACTCAAGTCACTGGTGGATACCTGGAGCAATCACTAGCACCAGGGGCACTAGCACTAGCTAAACCACTGTTTCTGTTTAGCTGAGCCTGCTTGTCTGCAGTCTCCGAACCCTTTGCTCAACGCATGGAACTCTGAACCTGTATTCACTCTCTGGGGGAGTTTTTTTTTTATTGTATATACTCTAATAATCCCAGAGGGAAATTACTTCTCTGCATTTAACCTATCCCTTTGTGGAGCAGTGGGCTGCCATTGTGAGGCGCCCGGGGAGCAGTGTGAGGTTAAGGGTCTTGCTCAGGGAGCCAGAGTGGCAGTCTGTGGGGGATCGAACTCACAATCTCAGGATTGAAAGCCCTATGCCCTAACCACTAAGCTGCGTGAGCTGCCTTAGGACCCATAACTGGACTCTATCACCACTTTCAGTTTCTACCTTTAGAGTTTTACTCTTAATGATTTAAAAAGTGCTGTACTTTAAGTTTAAGCTGCTTTCACATCACAGATCCTATTTGCTAGTTACAACCTGGTGGTTCTATGACTCTGGCTTTGTTCTGTGGACCAATGAGGAAACAAACTTTCCATCCTTGCCCCCATAACTCTTCCACCCCCTGGATCTTAACGACATAAATCCACCTTAGGTAGCTCTTTGTTATCATGTTGCTCCTTTTTCCCCCCTAATGTATTCGTCTCAGATCTTAGTCTTTCCTATGGATGTAAATCCTTCATCAGTTTGCCCGACCTGTGAGCTTTTCTCCATTTACTTTCTCTAAGTGTTGCGATGGAACATGTTCCTCTGTAATTACTCCTACATAATGACTGACCTACGGTCTTTTAGAAGACGTCTGTGAACAGACTTGTGTCCTCTTTGATAGCAAAGTGTGGACGCTTTCAGAAACCTGCTTTGTCTGATAGTTACTACTAAATATCTCAGCGGTTAATAACTGCAGGATGATGCTCACTGCTCACAACTGATAATACTGGCACCGTGTTCATGGAGTGATTTCATGAGGCAATAAATCACACGCATTCAAATAATCCACACAGTAATAGAAATAAAGATTTTTGTTGAATGCAAACCGTCTGTCCTTATCTGCTGCTCCCTCAAATAAACCACAAACACAGGTAGAGCTTTCTAGTTTGATTGCTTTTGAAATTTGAATGCAATTCGTTAAGATAAATAAAAGAATTCATGCATGATTTTTTTACATTTTCTCTTGTACTGCATTGTTCTTGTCACTTTGTGTGACTTTGCTGCAGCCTGGTTTTTGCCAACAGATTCAATGCAATTGGAGAAAGATTTTAAAGACTAAAAAAGGAGGATAGGTGAGTTTTATGATGGAGCTTTAATGGGTTTTAAAAAGTCAAGTTGCAGTTGAGATGTATAACAAAGCTAGTTTTTGTTGTTTTCTGTAAGGGATTTTCTTTCCAGCTAAAAAATTATATTTCTTCCAGGTCTTTTGAGTAATACCATTCAAACTTGATAGACCATATACAGTACAGCTTTAAAAAGACTAAGTTATGTGGATGGAGATATCAAGTGTTTGATGCCTTTAGTATTCTCCATCTGCTGAGGAACATGTTTTATATTTTAGTGCTCAAGTAGGTCTGGTCAGAGGTTTAAAAACACGAATAATGGGATGAATGTCATCAGAATTCATCTGAGCAGTTCCTTTTGTTGAGCTGAACCTTTTGCTGTGATTAGCAAAAAAAGAAAGAAGAATTAAGGTGGTCGAGGTCTAATCTGTTGTTGAGATTTTTATTTTTTTTATTCACACGGTGCCAGAACAATGATCATAGGTTCAAATAGCTAATCGGCTAATCAGTTGTTGCAAGTGTGAAAATGATCAACCATTTGGGAAAAATAGGAAAACCTGAAACCGACCTTATTTAAATAATTCACCAAGAACCACACAGATTAAAATTAGAATAGAATAGAACATCCAGCCCACCATGGGGAAATTCTGGTGTTTCCAGCAGCAAAAAGATAATAGAAAAAATGGTCACACAAATGTGGATCTTAGAAAAATATATAAGAATAACATAATAGTGAAGAGTTAAAAGATAAACAATAAATCACTGTTATGAAAAGTGTTTAAATAATGTAAAACTGATCACCTGGAGAATAAATAACCAATATGCAGCTATGGACAT